AAAAAAAAAAAAAAATGTCAAGTTAGTACTTCTAACTATATATCCTTATCATAGTGTTGTACTGTAGATTCAAACACCACTTCTTTAGTCTCTAATGCTTACAGAGTTACAAGCAACCAAAACTCAGCAACTTCACACACCTTAAACTAGATACATCATATTCAAACAACATTCGCTGGTTTCATGTAAAAAATAGCACAATTCATTGAGTGAATATCATACCAGTCTTTATCAATATGCCATCACACAGAATAACATTAACAGCCAACATCATGTTTTTTAGTAAAAAATTATGAATAGAGATTGAGTCGAGCCAATAAGGGCACAAAAATTGCTGCCTTAAAATTATACAGAATTTTTTCTGACAATATACCAAAAATAATTCTATGGGTCAAAGTTTCAAGGACAGAACCATACTTTCGCAGTTAAAGCCTGGATTTTAATCCTAACAGTATCCAAACCGCCCTTCATTTCCTTCAACAGAGCAACCAGCTGTGGAGATTCTCTGTACCATGCCATTTATAAATAAAGACAAAATTCTTTCCAAGGAAAAAAAAAAGAAACAATAGCATAATATATCAAATATTTACAGAATAACTGAATCATACTTACCTCCTAATTCGATCATTTTCAGGAGCAGTATTCATGGCCTCAACGAGGAGCTTTACTGAATTCCACAACTACCAATAACCAACGGTCTGCGCAGTGCATAGATATAAGTATGTAAGAAAGTCAATTAAGAAATATGCCTAAGAGTCTTCAAACTACACAACATGTAGTTTATCGGACCTTACACTGATATGGTTTACTTTTCTGTTAACTCATAATTGCAAAATTAAACAAATAAAATATCTTTCCCTTGTCATATTAAATTGGGAGTTCGTTTCTCTCGTGCAAGTGTAAGTGTAAGGTGCAATATGCTCAAAACAAAAAGGAAAAAAGGCAACAGCCAACAGAAAGGGAAGAAAAGGCAAAGAACACCTCAATCATAAGTTTCCCAAAAGTTCAAGACTTTAATTATTATCCTCTAAATCTCATAACTATGAATACATTAACTAAGCTATGCAGTGTTTGTAGCACCGTCAAACGGGCCAGGACCGCCTTCGAGAATAAGAACAAATATCACCTCGTAGAATTACAACAAAAATTATTGCCTTCAGAATAGCAGAATGAAATGGAGGTCTAGTGTTAGTTTAATTGTCACCTTCAGCCTTAAGCTTCAAAAATTCTCTCTTTTTCTCTATGTATTATTGTATTATTCAACAAAAGGGCAAGATGAAAACCTCAAGCAATTAGAAACAAAATCATCTCTTCGAAATCTCAAATCAGGAAACCAGAGCTAATATACAATAAATCTTTAGTCTTTTTATCATTGACAAATGCATTACACAGGAAATGAAATTAACAAAAAAAAAATATATATGATTCTGTTAAAAAAAAATAACAATAATAAATAAATAAAATAAAAAAAGCCCTACACAGTCACAAGATTACAAAAGTTACCTAACAAAAACTGCGCGGAAGGTCGGACCAGAGTTTCGGGATGCCTGCGCGGTGGCTGTGGAGCTAAAACCGGCGGCACTGGCGTCACGGCAGTGATTGGTAGATTAGGGTTGACAGTTTAAAAAGAGTCGAAAGAAGAAAGCCAGAACTGTTAAAAAAAATTGCAGAGTCTGTTATAAAACTAGAGAGAAAGAGAGATAATAGAGAAAATATTTCTGTTACGTACAATTTTCATTATAACTGAAGCTCCTATTTATAGGAAACTTCTGATGACACAACCGTAATAATACAATTACATCGGGGTAAAATAGTCATTCACATATATTATTTTATAACAAATAATTCATAACACTCCCCCTTGAATGACTATTTCTAAACATATTTTAACTGATTTGAACAACGCCCAATCTGAATATCTTGAAGTGTATCTTGTAGCCATCGGTACTGGTGCTTCAGTATATCAGGAAAATCCGGTGGGACAAAACCTGATCATCTTGAAATTATAACATTGCTTCCTCAGGAAAACCCAGTGGGACAAAACCTGATCATTATGGAATCACAACATCTATCCTCAGGAAAACCCGGTGGGACAAAACTTGAGCATTGTGGAAGCACAACATTGCTCCCCCTCAAATAGATCATCTTTAATGGAGTATTCACGTGCTGCCTCGTTAAAACCTTGTCAAGAAACCCAATGAGAAAAAACTTGATCGAAGGAAAAAGAGTACAGCTACTCCAGTGTTTTCTCATCATAATGAGGAATCATATCAATTATCCAGTAGTCCTCATTATATCATGAATGTGCCTCGTTAAAACCTTATTAGGAAAAACCCAGTGGGATAAAATTCTAATGAATGAAAAATAGTACACTATTCATGTGAATACGCCATCCATGTTGCCTCATTAAAAACCTTGCTAGGAAAACCCAATGGGACAAAACCTTAGCCAAGGGAAAAAGAGTACAACGCGTATTCCATATATTCACCATAATAACTTTTTCATGAGTATCATATAGATTCATTCAATTTTTCCGATACTGGTGGTATTCATGATAATAAGTTATATTATGCTTTTGTGCAACTTTCATTCTTAAACTCATTTTCATCATCAACCGATTTCAATGGTCTTACTGTCAATAGTTCTCAATATTCTCATTTCAGCCATTCTCATCAATATCATTTATATAGCGTTGTTCATCTGTTTGTGTCGACACATATTCATTTCCATTATTCCCGTAATATATTGAGATATCTCATTATCAATTAATTCCATCGATAGTATATATATGCCTCCTTTCATCACTTATTTGGGGAATTTCAATTTGCACAATACCAACGCTTCCAGCGTATCTTTCCACCATCATATCATTTCATATATTTAACTACCATCAGTATCATTCAGTTTATGATTTGCACACTTTCAGTGTGATGCATAAATCATTTTCAAAATTTCAATAATTGATTCTCCCCCTCATCTTAACACCTCATCTTAACAGATCTAATTTGTATTTTCAGTTTTGAGTTTCTTGAGGAGAGTTCATATAATCTCCATTTCGTTCTCGATTTCAACATATAATAGGAGGACTTTGAACTCATATCACTTGTAATGTGCACATTTTTCTTTCATGAGTTCACCATATGAGCTGATTATATTACTAGCTTCATCACTTTCATATGACACTTTCTTTCATAATCATCTTGTGTCATTCTTTGATCAAACCATCTCGTAACTTCAGGTTACGTGTCATATACACATTCTTTGATCAAATCATATCGTAACTTCAGGTTACGAATCACACATGTGGCTATCTAGTGGATCCATAATATCTAGTAGCACACATGGAGGGGTAGTGGGCCCATATATATATCGTACCCCTTTCATACTCAGTTTGATCAAATATCGATTCACAAATATTTAGCTAGTAATAATTTAACCAATCGAGAACAAAAAATCTCATAATCAGTTAATCATGCAAACCATCATAATTTATATCAGTAAACATCACAATAATTCATTGTGACCCATTAAACATATCACATCATCTTTCGGCGGCAATAAATGCACTTCAAGTGCAGATTCTGATCCACAATATTTAAATTCAGAACCGTATCACATGCGTATCAATCTTTCTGTCAGACATACTCTTTGTTTTTAGAGTCGTATAGCATATGCATCATTTCTATAAATTATCATGCAATCCATTTAATCTTTCCGAACAAAGGTCCGAATTTACATATGGATTTGGCACTCTCAAATATCCGTAAATATTATTCTTTTGTTCCAGTAAATATCATAAAAAGAATTTATCGGTCCCGAATAGAAAGATTGAGGGTGCTGATGATTAATGATATTCCAGGTGATATTCGATGGTTGATTGAAGCAAAAGTTCGATTGTCGGGAGAGTTTCCAAATTCATACAAATATATGCCAGGTATGGGTAAGAGTACTTTTGCAAAGAAACGAAGAGCTAAACGATTAGGTGGGTGCTTCAAATGCGCTCGATGGACTTGTGACACACGATGTAAATCTGTGGGGTTCGTGTCCAAAAATCGAGAAGATAAAATAGCATTTATAAAGGATGGATTGAGTAAGGAGTCTATGTATCAAACGATCCACCAGATTCTTGAGACACATCCTAGTGGGTATGTGCATCGTGAGCTTCTGTCTCTATGGATTCGTTTCAAAAATGAAGAGGAACGTTATAGTCTCGAAAATATTGTTTCAAAAGATCAAGTTTGTAAAACTAGTCTTTGTTAGTATGAAAATCATACTAATGAAGTTTAGTAGTTGCACTGTAATTTTAAGAGAATCTTATAGTTGCCGACATATAAGATTTATTTAAAATCTCACGCCTTATTTGTCGGTTGCAATTGTCAGAAGAAAACAGTAAAATTATTTATCGCTTTGTAAGACTTTCTATTTAAATAGCGAGTCATTCATCATAATCGTATGCCTTATAAACTTTTGAAAAATTAAGTTTATCAACAAATAGATGGATGTTTCAGAGCCTTCGCAAGGTAATAAATTTCTTCAGTCGATCAAAACCATATGTGTTCTTGCTGGTTCTAGACTGGTAAGTTTTTCTCAAAATGTTGATATTGTGAGTCAGTTAGTAAGGGATATGTGAAATCAAAAAATCACTTTACTATATGGAAGGACTAGCATCACTTTCTTTGATAATCTTTTATTGGCCGGAAAATGTTTTGAGATAGAAGTGAAAAGTATCATACCTTTTCATAGAGCTTCAACAAGGGTCGTCAAGGATTCCATATGCATGATGCTAACTCATTCTATTCATGATTGTATGATGGATATGGCGAACAAGAGCGATGCATTTATCATTCTTCCAGGCGGTTATGGAATGCTAATGACGATGTTCATTCTTGCTTCTTGGGCAGAATTGAAACTTCATAACAAACCCATAGGTCTATTGAATTTTAATAACTTTTTTTCTGGTTTGCTTGGATTTTTAGACCAAGGAGTATATCAAACCTTTATATCTCCTACAACAAGAGAAGTATTCAAATTTGCAGATACGTCTGGTGAGCTTATCAAAAAGCTCCAAGAATGCATCACATTTCAAGATTATGTGGAAACACAAGGGGTCAAACGAAAAAGAGCTTTTGATCCTTCAGATCTCTCATTATGAACCCATATGACAATAATGGGTGGCAGAGTTACGGAGTTTTATACTCTCGAGACGCACCCTTCTTTTATGGGTTCTATTATGTAATATTTGTGTATTTCGCATTTATCGAGTATGTACTGCCTCTTCTCCATATTTCCATCATGTGCACTTTCTGTACTTGTTTCTTATTAATAATAATATCAATTTCGCTTTTCCATAAGATAAGTGTGTAGTACTTCATGACTACAATTATTGTCATGTGTGCTTCTTCTGGAGCACATCATTGTAATATCTATATGATCTCGTATCTCAATGTGATTCTGTCATCTGATATATTCCCTTAGTCTCATATAATATATTGAGAAATCATTTTGTATGATCACCCATAACTGGTAACTTTTAGTACCACTTTCTTATTTGGTTCAATCATCCAATGGTATCTTCTGGTACCATTTCATTACTTTGTTAATCATAACGTGGTAGCTTCCAGTACCAATGTACCAGATATCATTTAAT